TGTGTCTAAATTTGAGTTTGTTTAGTTGATTAATCCGAGATCTTGATGCATTTTGACGACCTAATTCGAGGGTTTTGTGTATTCAGAATCTTCATTTTGGGGTTTAATCGAGTTTTTGTGATCTGAGTTAGCTCTTTGATCTCTGGATCGAATTTGACTTGTGGGTTTTGTGTAGTCTAAATTGGGTATAAAAAACAATTGTGGTTCATTTCTGGAAACTCAAATGGAATGTTTTCATCAAAGCTGGGATTTTTCCCAATTTTAGTTGCTGTTACTTTGTGGATTATTAGTGCTGAGATTTAGTTCTGAAAAATCTACAGATTGGAGGAACCGAAGGAGAATGCAACTTGCGTAGGGAGTTTTGTTGCAACGAAGAGTATCGCCTGCCTGCGTAATTCGGTATTTTAGAGTTTTGAGGAGAACAGGAGTATAGTAGTAAGATTATAACTGAGACTTTATAGCTAGTGGAACTTAGATTTTGGCGAGGTTTTTTTGATCGGTGAACGGTTGGATATGGGTATGGACATTGGTGACAAGGAGAATACAAGCCCGCCTTTATATGAGTTCTGCAATTGCTATAAAGTTGCAAGCCTTACTGAAACTATACTAAACCCGGTAAATGTTTCCAACTTAAAAGATCGATATGTGCTTGGGGAACAGTTAGGTTGGGGTCAGTTTGGTGTGATAAGAGTATGTTCTGATAAGTTAACAGGAGAGAGGCTTGCTTGCAAGTCTATCTCTAAAGATAGGCTAGTAACACAAGATGACATGAAGAGTATCAAACTCGAGATTGCGATTATGACCAAATTATCTGGGCACCCGAATGTGGTGGATCTCAAAGCGGTTTACGAGGAGGAGGATTCCGTGCATCTTGTGATGGAACTATGTGCAGGCGGTGAGCTTTTTCACAAGCTTGAGAAATATGGAAGGTATTCAGAGTTACGTGCGAGGGTGCTCTTTAAGCATTTGATGCAAGTGGTCAAGTTTTGTCATGATAACGGTATTGTCCACAGAGATTTGAAACCCGAAAACATTCTTATGGCCACAATGTCTTCGTCGTCTCCTATCAAACTGGCTGATTTTGGTCTGGCAACCTACATAAAACCCGGTAAGATAGATTACACTGTCTTTTTAAAAGTAATCAAGTCCAGAGATTTTCATGGACGTTGTGTATTCTAAGAAATGGGTTTTATTATGAGCAGGCGAAAAGTTGAACGGTACAGTTGGTAGTCCGTTTTACATAGCTCCGGAAGTGTTATCAGGGGGATATAACCAATCTGCTGATGTATGGAGTGCAGGGGTTATTTTGTACATTCTTCTCAGTGGAGTGCCTCCCTTTTGGGGAAAGACTAAGTCAAAGATTTTTGATGCTGTCAGGGCTGCAGATTTGAAATTTTCTGCAGAGCCATGGGACCATATAACTTCGTACGCCAAGGATTTAATCCGCGGGATGCTTTGTGTTGATCCTTCCCAAAGGTTATCAGCTGATGAAGTTCTAGGTGTGTTATCTCGTCGATTTGTTTGTTTGAAATGATGATTTGTTTGTACTAGATTAGCAGTGTTGGAAAGTTTTTTTGAAATGGTGATTTTTTTGCAGCTCACTCTTGGATGCAGCAGTTGTCTGAATCGGGTCAAGAACAATATGATCAGGATGGGTTTGGCTGTGAAGGATTGGAGAATGGTGGATGTTCTTTCTCCACACAATGCGTTTCTCGGGAACAAGACTACAGCTTTAGCATGGGAAAGTTAGAGCAATCAACAGATAACGATTGTAGATCTTCTTTCTCGTCTTTCTTACCTGCGCATAACACAATTCCAAGTTCCGGTTTTGGTGGGTTTTCTTTTGATGAGATACAACCGGAATCAACCTTAGCTGGCTTCTCATCAACTGGAGTTCCATCTATGCCAAGCTTTACGTTTTTTAGTCCAAGCCCAACAACAACACAGAACAATCACGTTCCTGAAACAAATGGAAAAGTTCGAGGTACCTCTTTTGCTCTTATTATGTCAGGACTTTGATGATGGCTATATATAGTTTACATACTTTCTAAAATGACAAGGACTTAAGTTCAAACTCGCTAAACAAGATCTCAACTTTCTTTGTTTCAAGAACAAAGCTTTTGCATATACCTTGAAAAAGTTCAAAAGTTTCTCCAAGAACTATAAACTTTAGCGAAAGTTGATTCCTTGGTCTGTTAATGCTTCCATTTCACATAGTTTGCATTAGTATCGTCTTCTTGCTCGGCGTATACACTGAATCTATAGTCAATGTTATGTTTTTACTTTTTACCAATAAAACCATCAAAATCTGATCTTCCGAAGAGCTGAACTCACATCCTGATCTGTCCCATTGTTTACAGACTCAAGCCCGAAGAGGCTACTGGCTTCACTGGATTCTTCTTTGCAACTTGAGAGGCGTGAGGAAGCAGGGGAGAATCAGACAGATGCCGCAGGAAAGTCAGAGACAAGAAGGGAAAGAGGAAACTGGTCAAGAATATCAGGTCTGCACAGCAAAAGAAACCGGACCATAGGACTAGGCGAGCTAGACCAGTTGGTGGTGGATGTTGTAGTCACAGAGTCGATAATCAGATGGGCATCTTGCACGCATATTCCCACCGCTCCATCTCTCAGATTGTCGCTCGTCTGCTAGAACAAATGA